TCACCTTCTTCAGTTCTCAAGGGGTATCTTTTTTTTTTTTGAGTCAGAGCTCTTGTTAGATGATTCTGAACAAGTTACTTAACTCTCTGGGCCTTAGTTACTTAACTCCAGGCTGGAGTGCAATGGCGTGCCGTCTCAGCTCACTACAACCTCCACCTCCTGGGTTCAAGTGATTCTCCTGCCTCAGCCTCCCGAGTAGCTGGGATTACAGGTGCCCCCCACCATGCCTGGGTAAATTTTTTATTTTTCGTAGAGATGGAGTTTCACCACGTTGGCCAGGCTGGTCTTGAAGTCCTGACCTCAGGTGATCCGCCTACCTCAGCCTCCCAAAGTGCTGGGATTACATGTGTGAGCCACGTCACCTGGCCCAGGGTGAGTGAGAGGGGGTTTCTAAAACACAAATATGACTCATCTCTTTTCTGTGCTAAGACCGTGCCATGGCTCCCCAGTGCCCAACCTCCTTACCTTCCAGGCCCCATATGATCTGGCAGTTTCCTCAATCCTATCTCCTATTTCTTCTGCCAACTCTCTTTATTCTTCCCTCCTTCTCTCAAGAAGGGAAGGAGAAAGAGAGTTGGCAGAGGAAAAAATGCCAGACAGTTCTTCTCTTCATTTTTTCACACCTCTGTGACTGCAGCTTCCTCTCCCAGATTCAGGTTGTGTTTTCACTGTTTTCTGCAGCCCACAAGGAAAAGTTCATTTACAGCAGAATTTAATATACACACAAAATAATAATCATAGTAATAATAACGGCAATTATTATATTACCTGGCAGGAACAGCTCAAAATACTTTCTACATGTGACCGAGTTAACACTCCTAACAGTCCAATGAGGTAGATCCCAGAGTTAATTCTCATTTTAAAGAGAGAAAAACTAAGGGCCAGAGAGTTAAGTAACTTGTTCAGAATCACCTAACAAGTGAGAGAATTTGGGCCAGGCACAGTGACTCACGCCTGTAATCCCAGCACTTTGGGAGGCTGAGGTGGGCGTATCACTAGGTCAAGAGATCGAGACCATCCTGGCCAACATGGTGAAACTCTGTCCCTACTAAAAATACAAAAGTTAGCTGTGCGTGGTGGTGCACACCTGTAGTCTCAGCTACTCGAGAGGCTGAGGCAGAAGAATTGCTTGAATCTGGGAGGCGGAGGTTACAGTGAGCCGAGGTCGCACCACTGCACTCCAGCCTGGTGCCTGGCGCCTGGCGATGGAGCAAGACTCTGTCTCAAAAAAGAAAAAAAAAGTGAGAGAATTCGGACCCAGACAGGCTTGCTCCAGAGTTGAGCACTTTCCACTATCTTGTGGTGTGGCCCAACAACCTCTGAAAATATATAACTGAAGACGGGGTGCGGTGGCTCATACCTATTATCCCATCACTTTAAGAGGCTGTGGCAGGTGGATCACCTGAGATCAGGAGTTCAAGACCAGCCTGGTCAACATGGCGAAACCCCGTTTCCCTGGGTGACAGACCAAGACTCCCAAAAAAAGAAAAGGAGGAAAGGAGGGAAGAAGGGAAGGAAGGAAGGAAGAAAGGAAGGAAGGAAGGAAGGAAGGAAGGAGGGAAGGACAGAAGGAAAATATACATAAAGTGCGTCTGATATTTTACTATTCTTTTATTTTGTGCATTTGTTTAACGCTACTTGCAGCCCCGTAAATATTTTCCTGGACTCACTAATGGGTCAAGATTCATAGTTCTGGCTGGATTCAGTGGCTCATGCCTGTAATCCTAGCACTTTAGGAGGCTGAGGTGGGAGGATTGCTCAAGCCTAGGAATTCGAGACCAGCCTGGGCAACATAGTGAGACTGTGTCTCTACAGAAAATTTTTTTTAATTAGCCAGGCATGGTGGTGTGTGCCTGTAGTCCCAGCTATTCTGGAGGCTGAGGTGGGAGGGTTGCTTGAGCCAGGAAGTTTGAGTCATGATTGTACCACTGCACTCCCGCCTGGGGCATAGAGCAAGTCTCTGTCTCAAAAAAAAAAAAAGACCTATAGTTTTGAAAATGTGGCCCTTGGCCAGGCGCAGTGGCTCACACCTGTAATCCTAGCACTTTGGGAGGCTAAGGTGGGCAGATCATCTGAAGTCAGAAGTAGGAGAAGAACCTGGCCAACACGGCGAAACCCCATCTCTATTAAAAATACACAAATGAGCCAGGCATGGTGGTGAGCGCCTGTAGTCCCAGCTACTCAGGAGGCTGAGCCAGGAGAATTGCTTGAACCCAGGAGGCAGAGGTTGCACTGGGCCAAGATCGCACCATTACATTCCAGCCTGAACAACAAAAGCAAAACTCCATCTCAGAAAAAAGAAAAAGAAAACATGGCCCTAGAAAGCCTTCCCAAAGCCGCCCTCATCCCTGCATCCAGCCTCCAGCTACCCACATCTGTGGAGCCCCATACCCTGCTGCCTGTGGCTCTCCACCCCCCACCATCTCGTGAACTCCAAGCCAGATTTAGACTCAGCTCTCTGCCTGGAATGCCATGGAGCTGGCAGCTCCCTGGATGCCTCCCCGGGGTCCCCAGTGCATTTGTTTCCTGTGACTGCCATGACACCAAAAACTGGGTGGTTTAAAACAAGAGAACATGGCCGGGCACAGTAGCTCACACCTGTAATCCTAGCACTTTGGGAGGCTGAGGCAGGCAGATCACCTGAGGTCAGGAGTTTGAGACCAGCCTGGCCAACATGGTAAAACCCCATCTCAACTAAAAATACAAAAATTAGCTGGGCGTGGTGGTGGGCACCTGTAATCGTAGCTACTCAGGAGGCTGAGCCAGAAGAATTGCTGGAACCTGGGAGGTGAAGGAGGCTGCAGTGAGCCAAGATCGGGCCACTGTACTCAAGCCTGGGTGGCAGAGCGAGACTTTCCATCTCAAAAAAAAAAGAGAGAGAGAGAGATAAACATATTGTCTCCCAGTTCACCAGGCTGAAAATCCTAAATCAAGGCATGGGCATGGCCTCACTCCTGACAAGGCTCTACGGGAGGATATTTCCTGGATTCTTCCAGCTTCTGATAGCACAGGGCCTTCTTGGGCTTGTGGCTTCAGGACCCCCGTCTCTGTCGCCACAGAGCTGTCTTCCTTTGTGTGCCGCCTCTTCTTCTTTTTTTTTTTAAAGACAGAGTTTGATTCTTGTTACCCAGGCTGGAGTGCAACGGCGCGATCTTGGCTCACCGCAACCTCTGCCTCCTGGGTTCAGGCAATTCTCTGCCTCAGCCTCCTTGGCTGGGATTACAGGCATGTGCCACCATGCCCAGCTAATTTTTTGTATTTTTAGTAGAGACGGGGTTTCACCCTGTTGACCAGGATGGTCTCGATCTCTTGACCTTGTGATCCACCCGCCTTGGCCTCCCAAAGTGCTTGGATTACATGTGTGTCTCCTCTTTTTGTTTTGTTTTGGTTTTGTTTTTGTTTTTTGAGACGGAGTTTCGCTCTTGTTACCCAGGCTAGACTGCAATGGCGCGATCTCGGCTCACCGCAACCTCCGCCTCCTGGGTTCAGGCAATTCTCCCGCCTCAGCCTCCCGAGTAGCTGGGATTACAGGCGCGCACCACCATGCCCAGCTAATTTTTTTTGTATTTTTAATAGAGACGGGGTTTCACCGTGTTGACCAGAATGGTCTCGATCTCTTGACCTCGTGATCCACCCGCCTCGGCCTCCCAAAGTGCTAAGATTACAGGCTTGAGCCACCGCTCCTGGCCTGTGTGTCTCCTCTTATAAAGACACCAGGAATGATGAACGAAGGGCCCACCCCACTCTGGTATGGCCTCATCTTAACGAATCCCCTCTCCAAGGACCCTATTTCCAAACAAGGTCACATTCTGAAGCACTGGGGGATCAGGACGTCAGCCTCTATTTTTGGGGGGAAACCATTCAACCTGTTGGTCAGTTTACACTCACCAAAGCTTTTTTTTTTTTTTTTTTTTTTTGAGACGGGGTCTAGCTCTGTCACCCAGGCTGGAGTGCAGCGGTGCAATCTCAGCTCACTGCAACCTCTGCCTCCCAGGTTTAAGCAATTCTCATGCCTGAGCCTCCCAAGTAGCTGGAATTACAGGCATACACCACCATGCCTGTATTTTCAGGAGAGACGAGGTTTCACTATGATGGCCAGGCTGGTCTCGAACTCCTGACCTCAGGTGATCCGCCTGTCTTGGCCTCCCAAAGTGTGGGGATTACAGGCGTGAGCCACGGAGCCAGGCCCAGACTACGAATTTTTGCTTTTATGCTCATTGTACCAGGGATTGTTGTAAGTGCTCATGTATATTTATTGAATCGATGAATGAAGCACCGGTTGTCGAATGACCTTGAGGACTCCTGCAGGATGCTAACAAACACATTTCTCAGCTGGACTGAGCTCCATCATCATGCCATCCGGCCCACCCGAACTGCGTTCTGGCTTCATTCCTGTCTCCATGTATTCGCTTAAAGTCGTGCCGGCGTCAGGATCTCTCTCCCTACCCTCCAGGAAGCTCTTCCGTCGCATCTTCCCGGCTCCTCGAGGTAAAGGTGCGGACAGAGGGGCCCCCAAGGTGTGATTGGAAGGCTAGTGGGTTACTATGGTTACTGCATCCGCCCGGGGCGGGACATCTCCAGAACGCCCCGCCTCTAGGGGTGCGAGGTGGGCAGCTCTGGAGCGGCCCAGCGAAGGGGCGGGCAAACGAGGAGGCAAAGCGGCTTCCTCACGCTTCCACCCCAACCACGCAGTTGTCAAGGAGACAAAGCGCTTCCCTTCAGCGCTGCCTCACTCCCCTTTCTCCTAAAGAAAGGGACAGTTGCTGTCCCGGAAAAGCTGGGACACCACTCGGTACTAGCGCGCTCCCAGCATCTCCCACCTCCTCCAAGGCTCGCTACCCCTGCGCCGAGACCAGGTCCCGGGTACCACCCCAGGGACGCGCATGCGCGCGATGGAGTTTTCGCGCGTGCGCCGTTGTGGCCCCAGGGGCTAGGGGACCCGCGCAGCGCTAACCCTGCGGCTGCGCGGTTGCAGCCTGCCGGTGGGGCTCGGCGGAGCGCAGTTCTGCGCCTGCGCCCCGCTGGGGAAGGTTGAGGGCTTTGGGGCCGACTGGCGTTGGGCGCGCCTGCGCCTTGGCTTGAGGGGCGACCGGAGGCGGGGCCCAAAGAGGGGAGGAAGGGGGCGGAGGGTGGGAATAGGCCGCAGAAGCCAGAGCCCTGACCCACCGGCGACTGCGGGGACGCCGGTGAGTGACCCGTGGCCCGACTCGGTCCCCACCCTCCGCGACCCTCGCTCTTCCTGCAGTCCCCCGTAGCCTCCGCTGTCTCCTTGTGATACCGGACCCCCATTATCTCCAGAGCTCCCCTTAATTTGTGGCAATCCCCAGAGCCCCCACAACCCCCGCAGACCCTGATCCCTAATATTTGATCGTCTCAGCTCTTCCACTGATAGGGGAGCTTCCACTCCACCATTATTCCTGGACATACCCTCTCAGGGACCGTCTCATATCAGTCTTACAGACACCCCGTTGCCCCCTGGAGCCCCTAGAGCGCCTCCTCTGCTCCAGATTCCCCCCTTCTTGCTGTATCGCCCCTTCCGCATCTCCTCATCTTCATGCATCTAAGACCCCTAAGACACCCCTATCCTCCCTCCATTTCCTGTCCTCCCGTGCCCCCACTCTCTAACTCCTGCAGACACCTCCTCTCCTCGCACTTTTCCTCCTTTCCCTCCATCCCTCAGACCCTCCCGCAATTTCCATCAACTCTTCAGCGTGACAGCGCCACGTGAAGCCCGAGCCGAGCGCTCCGCTGGTGTCAGCTATTCTTAGGCGCTGCCGACTGCCCCAAGTGCCGACTGCCCGCCCCCCGCCCCCCGCCCTCCGCCCCCACTCCTGCCCCAGGGGCCGAGGACCTCACGGCCCAGCGGTCTGGGCGGGGCGGCGGCGGGGGAACGTCGAGCCCCCACCAGCCCCTTGCGTCCTTTGCCCACAGCGCCGGCGCCCCCCATGCGCCGGGCGGCGGGACGGCAGCGTCGGGGGGCGCCATGGCCTCGGCGGCGGCGGCTGGCGAAACAGAGGAAACCACCCGGCTGCGCAAGCCGCGCTTCTCGTTCGAAGAGAACCAGATCCTGATCCGCGAGGTGCGCGCCCACTACCCGCAGCTCTACGGCGCGCAGAGCCGTCGGGTGAGCGTGGCCGAGCGGCGTCGTGTGTGGGACGGCATCGCCGCCAAGATCAACGGTATCACCAGCTGGAAGCGCACGGGCCAGGAGGTGCAGAAGCGCTGGAACGACTTCAAGCGCCGCACCAAGGAGAAGCTCGCCCGCGTGCCGCACTCCACGCAGGGTGCCGGGCCCGCCGCCGAGGACGCCTTCTCCGCGGAAGAGGAAACCATTTTTGCCATCCTGGGGCCAGGTGTGGCGGGGCCAGGAGCAGGTGCTGGGGCGGAGGAGCCCCCTGCAGCCCCCTCTTCACAGCCGCCGCCCCCAAGCGCCTGCCCCCAACGCTATGTGTTGTCAGAAGATCGCAGGGAGGACCGACGTGCAGGTGAGTGTCTTCAGCATCGCCTTAGCGAGAGCAAACGCAAAGTTGGCTGCGTGCCTGCGCTGTTCCAAGCCTTTTACGTGGCTCATCCAAGACTTGCTGCAGCCTGTGAGGTGGGTGCTGTCCTCCCCACTTTATAGCGAGGGAAATTGAAACGCAGAGAAATGAAATGACTTGCCTCAGGTCCCTTAGCTAGTGACTGTCAAGAGTCAGGAATGAAACCAGACCTAGGAGGTCCACACCTGGGATGGTCAGCACAGGCAGGATTTCATGAAAGGCAATGTAGAGTAGTGACTCTGGAGGCAGACTGCCTGGGCTCCAGTCACAGCTTTGCCACTCCACTGTGTCATCGGAGTAAGTTGCTGCATCTGTAAAATGGAGATAAAAATAGTCTGCACCTCCGAGTGTTGCTGTGAAGATTAAATGAGCTGATACGGGTAAGTTGCTGAGGTCAGCACCTCCTGAACTCCCACTGTTAGTTCCTGATAGACTCGTCACTGCGGCGAGATGCATACTATTTCACCATTTCCTAAATCAAAGACTCAGACATGTTTGGTCATTTTCCCAAGGTCATGCCTTCCATAGAGGTGGGGAGAGCTGACTACGGAGACTTCCTGCTTAGCTTCGATTCTGGATTATTTCCTCTACGGCCATTCCCTGAGCACCTGCTCTGTGCTACATAAGGCTGGAGACACATGGATGACTGAGCCAGTCCAGTAGTGGGGTGGGGAAGACAGTGATGAGTTGAGGGGACAGGGCTGGGGTGGGGGATCCTAGGGACTGTGGAAGCCCAGAAGGGGTTTCTGACTCTGGTGGGGGAGGTGGGTTGGGGGGAGTATCCAGGAGGGCTTCCTGGAGGAGGGGACATCAGAGCTGAAATGCAGAGTAAGATGAAGAGCTGGGAAAGTATTTTTGGTAGAGGAAACAGCACGTCCAATGGCTTGGAGGCAAGAAAGCTTGGCCAGTTTGGGAAACTAAAAGAAGTTGCAGGGCAGAGGGTGTAGAGGGGAAAGGTTGAATAAAATTAACATTTTGAGATGAGCTCAGAGAGGTCAGCAAAGACCAGACCATACAGCACCTTTAGGCCAAGGTGAGGAGTTTGGATTTTATCCTGACTGCTATGAGGAGCCATGGAAGGGTTGGAAGAAGGGGAGGAACATGGGCATGATCAGTCAAGACAGTCCAAGATCATGTGATTCAGAGAGGTTCATTCACCAGCACAAGGTCACGCAGCAAGTAAGTGACAGAGTCAGGACTCAAACATAAGTGTGTGTCCAACTCCCAGTCCATGGCAGTTAACCACTGGGCTAGATTGCCCAGCAGTAACAAGAGTTAATATTGACCAGAAGTTAATGAGTGTGTCAGAATTAGATTACATGTGGTGTGGATGTCAAGGTCAGGAATTTGAACTTGCTTTTTTTTTTTTTTTTTCCTTAGATGGAGTCTCCCTCTGTTGCCCAGGCTGGAGAGCAGTGGCACAATCGTGGCTCGCTACAACCTCTGCCTCCCGGCTTCAAGTGATTCTCCTGCCTCAGCCTCCTGAGTAGCTGGGATTACAGACGCCCACCACCATGCCTGGGTAGTTTTTGTATTTTTGGTAGAGACAGGATTTTACCATGTCGACCAAGCTGGTCTCGAACTCCCGATCTCAGGTGATCCGCCCTCCTCGGCCTCCCAAAGTGCTGGGATTACAGGTATGAGCCACCGTGCCCAGCCTGGATTTGCTCTTAAGCGCATTCAGGAGGCATGAAAGTCTCTTAAGCAGGAAGGTGACACAATCACGTGGGATCCTTGTTCTCAAACCTTGAATCAAACCTTGGTGTTTCCATCTGTGAGATGGCCAACTTATTTTTTCAGAAACTGTATAACCGCTTCATTGACTCATTTAACAAATAATACGGGCTGGGCGCGGTGGCTCATGCCTGTAATCCTAGCACTTTGGGAGGCTGAAATGGGTGGATCACCTGAAGTCAGGAGTTCAAGACCAGCCTGGCCATCATGGTGAAACCCCATCTTAAATAATTAATTAATTAATTAATTTTAAAAAAACAAATAATACATTGAGAACCCCTTCCAGGGCAGCTACTATCATAGGTGCAGAGAATACTGTAAAGAAAAAGACAAGATCCCCTTTCCTTATGGAGCTGACATTCTATGTAGTTGAAGAAAACAGACCACAAAGAAGTGACCCCCAAAACAGACTGTGTATACAGGAGGTGGTGAGAACTAAGAGGAGAAATAAGGCATATTCAGAGGTTGGTGAGTCACGGAAGGGGGCTGTAAGACAGGGTAGTCAGGAAGGGCTTCTCAGAGCAGGTGAAATTCAAGCAGAGGTGAGAATAGTGTGAGCCTGGCAGACACCTGGGAAAAGGGCACTCCTGCTATAGGAAACAGCACGTGTAAAGGTTCTGAGGCGGGAACATGCATAGAGCATCCTCGGTTAGAACTTTACACAGGCCTGGCACGGTGGCTCACACCTGTAATCTCAGCACTCTGTGTAGTCCCAGGTCATACACTCATTTACAAGTATGGAAACTGAGGGGCAGGTGCAGTGGCTCATGCCTGTAATCCCAGCACTTTGGGAGGCCGAGGCAGGCACATCACCTGGGGTCAGGAGTTCGAGACCAGCCTGGCCAACATGGCGAAACCCCATCTCTACTAAAAAATACAAAAATTAAGCGCAGGGCGCGGTGGCTCAAGCCTGTAATCCCAGCACTTTGGGAGGCCGAGGCGGGTGGATCACGAGGTCAAGAGATCAAGACCATCCTGGTCAACATGGTGAAACCCCATCTCTACTAAAAATACAAAAAATTAGCTGGGCATGGTGGCGCATGCCTGTAATCCCAGCTACTCAGGAGGCTGAGGCAGGAGAATTGCCTGAACCCAGGGGGCAGAGGTTGTGGTGAGCCAAGATCGCACCATTGCCCTCCAGCCTGGGTAACGAGCGAAACTCCGTCTCAAAAAAAAAAAAAAAAATACAAAAATTAGCCAGACATGGTGGCATGTACCTGTAATCCCAGCTACTCAGAAGGGTGAAGCTGGAGAATCACTTGAACCTGGGAGGTGGAGGCTGCATGAGCTGAGATCGTGCTACTGCACTCCGGCCTGGGTGACGGAGTGAGACTCCTCAAACAAACAAACAGACAAACAAAAACAACAAGTAGGGAAAGCTGAGATCCAAAGTTTGCAAATAAATATGATTTTAACTCTTACAGTGAAGCCAGGCACAGAGGCATGTCTGTAATCCCAGCACTTTGGGAGCCTAAGGCGGGAGGATTGCTTGATCCCAGGAGTGCAAGACCAGCCTGGGCAACAAAGTGAGACCCCCATCTCTACAAAAAAATCCAAAAATTAACCAGGCATGGTGGCATGGCACCTTGGTCCCAGCTACACATGAGGTTGAGGCAGCATGAGGATCCCTTGAGCCTAGGAAGCAGAGGTTGCAGTGAGCCATGATCCTACCACTGCACTCCAACCTGGGCAACAGAGCGAGAGCCTTCCTCAAAAAAAAACAAACAGCTGGGCACGGTGGCTCACACCTGTAATCCCAGCACTTTGGTAGGCTGAGGCAGGTGGATCACCTGAGGTCAGGAGTTCCAGACCAGCCTAGGTAACCTGGTGAAACTGCATCTCTACTAAAATACAAAAATTAGCCAGGCATGGTGGTGCGTGCGTGCCTATAATCCCAGCTACTCGGGAGGCTGAGGCAGGAGAATTGTTTGAGTTTGGGAGGTAGAATTTGCAGTGAGCGGAGATCACACCATTACACTCCAGCCTGGGTGCCAAAGCTAGACTCCATCTGTAAAGAAAAAAGTAAAAAGCAAAAAAAAACCTCTTGCAGTGGCCTGTATGACTCCTGTGAACCTGGTGGGCAAGAAGGCTGGGCTACTTCCTGTTCCTTTTTACTCAGTAGACCGGAAAAGCCACATTTCTGAGTGGCTGCAATTCCCACGTTCCTTATAAGGAAGACTTCCTACCCATGCCCACACCCCAGGCCCACAGCCCTTGCCCCAGGAGTGTTTAAGAGCATGGATTCCGCTGTGGTGGAGTGGTTCACACCTGTAATCCCAGCACTCTGAGAGACAGAGGAGGCCAAGGTAGGCGAATCCCTTGAGAACAGGAGTTCGAGACCAGCCTGGCCAACATGGTAAAACCTCATCTCTACTAAAAATACAAAAATCAGCCAGGCGTGGTGCACATGCCTATAATCCCAGCTCCTCAGGAAGCTGAGGCAGGAGTGAACCTGGGAGGTAAAAGTTACAGTGAGTCCAGATTATGCCACTGCACTCCAGCCTGGGTGACAGAGTGAGACCCTGTCTCAAAATCAAAAAGAGCATGGACTCTGGCCATGCAGTGGCTCATGCCTGTAATCCCAGCACTTTGGGAGGCCAAGGCAGGAGGATCATTTGAGGCTAGGAGTTTGAGACCAACTTGGGCAATGTAGCGAGGCCCCCATCTCTACAAAACAAACAAAAGCACGGACTCTGGAGTCAACCCGGGTTCAAATCCCTTTTCTGCACATGACACCTCTCTCTGAGCATCAAGTCACCTCATCTATAAAACGGCGCAATGATGATGATAGCGCCTACCCCATAGCATGGCTGGGAGGACTCCGTGAGATCCTGGAAGAGGGGATTTAGCCCAGGGTCTGGCTCAGTTGTTCTGTCACTGTCTGCTCTGCTTATCTCTCTCCCAGCCTCCCTACCTCCTGCTGGTGGCTGGCCCAGGGAGGCTGGACCCCAGCAGCCAGGGCAGGAGGTGGCTGGTTTGTTGGTTTGTCTTTGAGACAGGGTCTTGCTCTGTCGTCTAGGTTAGAGTTCGATCTAGTCTCACTGCAACCTCTGCCTCCAGGGTTCAAGCGATTCCCGTACCTGGAGTAGCTGGGATTACAGGCATGCACTACCACACCCAGCTAATTTTTGTATTTTGAATAGAGACAGGACTTCAGCATGTTGGCCAGGCTGGTCTCAAACTCCTGACTTCAGGTGATCCACATGCCTGGGTCTCCCAAAATGCTGGGATTACTAGCGTGAGCCATTGCGCCTAGCCTGGATGGCTGGTTTTTTGTTTTTGTTATTCTTTTTTTTTTTTCTTTTCTCTCTCTCTCTTTCTTTGGCTGGCTGTTTTTAAGAGAAGAGCGGGGTAATCTGATTTGGCCAAGGAGCGGGAGGCCAACTTCCCCAAGGAAGGAACATCCGAAAAAAACATCCAAGCTGATGCAAGAGGCAGTGTGAGCCTAGCCCAGGGAACAGCACGTGGGAAGACAGACAGAAAGAAGGAGGTGGGAGCAAGCGCTGAGGCCCCACAGCCGTGGGAAGAGGCTGGACTTTCTCCTGTGGCTGCTGGGAGCTCTGGAGCCTGAGACCCAATCAGCGCTGACTCTCTGGAAGCCCCAGTTGTTTTCTTATTAAAGAAAAAATGTTGTGCTGGACATTGTTCTAGGCACCAGGTAAACAGAAGGGAGTGATATAAAGCCGTGCCTGATGGAGCTGACATCAGGAGGCGGAGGTAGACAGCAGACGCAGAGCCATTCCATGCCAGGCGGAGATAAGAGCTAGGAGAGGAATCAGGTAGGGTTAGGGGAGAGAAAAGGAAAGGGACAGGGCAGCCTGAGCAACATGGCAAAACCCTGTCTCTACAAAAACAAAACGAAAATTAGCCAGGCATGGTGGTGCACACCTGTAGTCCCAGCTACTCAGGAGGCTGAGGTGGGAGAATCGATTGAGCCCAGGAGGCAGAGGTTGCAGTGAGCGGAGATTGCGCCACTGCACTCCTGCCTGGGTGACAGAATGAGACTCCTACTCAAAAAAAAAAAGGAAGTAGGCCCGATGTGTTTGAAGGTCAGCAAGGAGCCCACGTGGCTAGAGCTAAGTAAGCTAAGAGGGAGGGATGGGAGCTGAGGTCAGGGAGGCAGGGCCCTAGAGGCCTCAAGGATTTTGCTTTTACCCTGAGTGAGGTAGGAGCCACAGGACGGTTCAAGCATAGAAACAATATCTGACTTATGTATTTTTTTTCTTGGAACAGAGTCTTGTTCTGTCGCCAGGATGGACAGAGTGCAATGGTGTGATCTTGGCTGCCAGGTTCAAGCGATTCTCCTGCCTCAGCCTCCCAAGTAGCTGGTACTACATGCACGTGCCACCACATCTGGCTAATTGCTGTATTTTTAGTAGAGACAGGGTTTCACCATGTTGGCCAGGATGGTGTCAATCTCTTGACCTCGTGATCCATCCCCCTCGACCTCACTGACTACTGGGATTACAGATGTGAGCCACCGTGCCCAGCCTGACTTGTATTTTTTTAAATAATTATATTAGATATAATTCCCATACTATACAATCAACTCACTTAAAGTGTACAATTCGCTTGAGCCCAGGAGTTTGAGACCAGCCTAAGCAACATAGTGAGACCTCATCTCTACAAATAAATAAATAAAATTAGCCTGGCTTGGGGTTGTGCGTCTGTGGCCCCAGCAGCTCAGGAGGCTGAGATGGGAGGATCGCTAAGCTGGGGAGGTTAAGGCTGCAGTGAGCCAAGATCTCACCACTGCATTCCAGCATGGGCAACAGCGAGACTCTTGTCTCAAAAAAGTAAAAAATAAAGTATCCAAATCAATGGCTTTTAGTATATTCACTGTTGTGCACCCATCACCACAATCAATTTTAGAACATTTCCATCACTCCAGAAAGAAACCCTGCACCTCCTAGCCATCCCCAATCCCCCATCTTCCCCATCTTCCCCCAGCCCCTGGAAGCCACTCATCTGCTTTCTGTCTCTATAGATTGGCCTATTTTTTTCTTTTTGACACAGAATCTTGCTCTATTGCCCAGGCTGGAGTACAGTAGCGTGTTCTCAGCTCACTACAACCTCCACCTCCCAGGTTCAAGCAATTCTTCTGCCTCAGCCTCCTGAATAGCTGGGATTACAGGCATGAGCCACCACGCTCGGCTGATTTTCTGTATTTTTACTGGAGATGGGATTTTACCATGTTGGCCAGGCTGGTCTCAAAGTCCTGACCTCAGCTGATCTGCCTGCCTTGGCCTCCCAAAGTGCTGGGATTACAGGCATGAGCTACCGCACCCAGCCAGATTTGCCTCTTTTGGACATTTCATATAAATGGCCCCTAAGATCTGTGGTCCTCTGTGACTAGCTTGTTTGCTGTAGCCTCACTGCATTGTAATTTAATTGGACCCCCTCAGGCTGCTGGTGGAAGCAGAGAGCCGTCAGTGGGGTGGTGACTGCAGTGGTCCCGGTGGGAGATGCTGGTGGTTAGAGCAGGGGCGGGGGACCATAGAGAAAGAAGTTGGGTGTATTTAATTGGAAGGCAGAGCAGATACCGTCTGCACGCAGATGTCTTAGTAAACAAAACAGTGAAGGTGTTTAACCTGAGCAGCTGGGAGGATGGAGCATCTGCTGAGATGGGGTAGCTGAGGGAGGAGCAAGTTTGGGGAGGATCAGAAGCCCAGCTCTGAGCAAGGGAGTTTGGGGCATTTTTAGACAAACTAGAGTGCCCAGCAGGAGAGAGGAGTCTGGAGCTCAGGCGAGAGGTTCAGGCTGGGCCCAGGAAGCTGGGAGCCTATGTATGCAGACTGCATTCAAGCCCATGAGCATGAGTGAGACCCCAGGTGAGTAGAGACTGAGGAAGCCTACCAGGCTGGGGGCTGAACTGGAAAATCCTGCAGCCTTGGTTGGAGAGAGTCTCAGGGAAATGTCCCCAGTACCCAGCCACCCTTACTCTCTCCCAGGCCCCTCCCTGACCTCCTCAGGATCCAGCAGTGGGTGCAGTATCCACATAGTTCAGAGCCTTGTCAAATGTTGGCCCTTGTCTGGGCATGGTGGCTCATGCCTGCAATCCCAGAACTTTGGGAGGCTGAGCTGGGTAGATCACTTGAGGTCAGACGTTTGAGACCAGCCTGGCCAAGAAAACCCCGTCTCTTCTAAAAATACAAAAATTTAGCCAGGCAGGGTGGCATGTACCTGTAGTCCCAGCTACTTGGGGAAGCTGAGGCAGGAGAATTGTTTGAAGCCAGAAGATGGAGGTTGCAGTAAGCCGAGATCATACCCACACTACTGCACTCCAGCCTAGGCCACAAAGTGAGACTCTGTCTCAAAAAAAAAAAAAAAAAGTGTTGGCTCTTACTGTGGGTGAAATGGGAGCTGCCTGCCAGCAAGGGACTTCCGGGACCTGTTTTCACTAAACCTGGCACAGACTCTCTCTCCTCTGGGTACAAAGACTGGCCTGCCTTGGAGCTTCTCGTCTAAGGCATGATCTGGCTTATGTTTTAAAAGGATCGTTCTGGGGCTGAGTGCAATGGCTCATGCCTGTAATCCCAGCACTTTGGGAGGCCAAGGTGGCTGATGATGAGGTCAGGAGTTCGAGACCAGCCTGGCCAACATAATGAAACCCCATCTCAACTAAAAATACAAAAATTAGCTGGGTGTGGTGGTGGGCACCTGTAATCCCAGCTACTCCAGAGGCTGAAGCAGGAGAATTGCTTGAACCCAGGAGGTAGAGATTGCAGTGAGCCGAGATCATGCCACAGCACTCCAGCCTGGGTAACAGAGCAAGACTCTGTTCTAGGTTTGGGTAGGGGGAAGGTGAGGGAGGGAGGGGGAAAGGGGAAATCAAGGGAGCATCAAGGGTCACTCACCCCTTATCTGCATTTCTCTCTCTACAGATACATCAGCCCACAGCAAGGGGGGCTCCAGCAGCCCCGAGCCCTGGGCCCGGCCCTCCTGCAATCCTCAGGAAGGGGGCTGCCCTCGGCCCAAGGAGCGTGAGTCCCCACCCCCTTCGGCCCTGCAGCCAGTCCAGCTGCCTCGCCTGGCCTTGTCTCCACCACCCCCAGCCCCTCCACTGCCACCTCCACTGCCACTGGCCCAAGTGGCACCCTCGCCCCCAAGCCCCCCACCCCCTCCTCGGCCTCCACCCATGCTCTTGGCCCCAGACCCCTCCCTGGACTTCCTGCGAGCCCAGCAGGAGACTGCCAACGCCATCCGGGAGCTGGCTGGCACCCTTCGACAGGGACTGGCCAAACTGAGCGAGGCCCTCAGCGCCCTGCTGCCCCTTCTGCCAGGAACCCCAGTCGACTCCCTCCCCCCACCTCTGCCGCCACCCCCACCCCCAGCTCCCAGGCCTGTCCTGCCCCCTCCAGCCCCCAAAGTAGAGATCACCCCAGAGCCCGTGTCCGTGGTAGCTGCTGTGGTGGACGGGGCAGTGGTGGCAGCCAGGGGAGTGATCATTGCCCCAAGGAGCGAGGAGGGGGTGCCCCGGCCACCCTCAGCCCCACTCCCTCCACACGACTCCCCCCCACACAAGCGGAGAAAAGGTTTCCCTACACGGAAAAGGCGCGGTCGATGGAAATCTCCGTGAAATCTACTATCTACACTCCTGCCTGCACCCCCTCTCCCCAGCTTGGCGCAGTCGAGGGGGGCGACGCTCTCTGCCCATCTCAGCTGCACCCTAGCTCTCTGCTCCAGGGATGTGAGCACTCCCTGTGCTAGTTAGTGCCTGATTCTCTGGAGGGGCCTCAGCAATGGGCCCCCTCAACCCCTTTCTCTGGTACAGTGCTGTCTGCCTGGCTGCCTCCCTTAACCCTGACTTCTAAGCCATCGATTTCATGTTATTTATTATTGCCCTATGTAGGGTAGGGAGGGAACCTCTCGGGTCTGCACATAGCCCCTCCCTAACAATTCCTGTTCTTGACTTGAAGAGAATTGACCCGTGGGGGACTCCCTACCTCCCAATCCCAGACTTTGGAGGGGGTGGGAGTTGTAAGACAAATCAAAATATGGATGACAAAGGGGATATAGCCGTCTATACCCTAGGGAGAGGAGACTCCGAGTTCTGATAGGAGAGGTAGAGGTTGGGTTCTCTGCCTACCACTGCTATCTCTCTCTGACTTCTGGAGCTCAACCCCCTCCTTTCTCCCCAGTGGGGACAATATATCAATAAACTTATTTTTAATACAATTACTTGAGCCTCTGTCTGAGACGGGCCTAGGGGACCAGCACCTACACTGCCCCGCCCCCTGCACAGGCAGGCAATTGGGAGACTGGTGGTTTTCCAGCCTTTTTTTTTTTTTTAGTTTTTAAAGCCATCAAGTCTTGTGTTCACATGAAATCTTATTCCTACTCATTCTTTAGATACCAGTCTAAATGTCACCTCCAGGAGAAAGTCCGAGATTCCCTCCCCAAGGCTAGCGTGGGTTTGCCTCTTAGAGTCTCTCTCAGTGTCTGTGGTTCTTTTTCTTTTCTTTTCTTTTTGTTTTTTTGAGATAGGATCTTGCTCTGTTGCCCAGACTGGAGTGCAGTGGCACTGTCATGGCTCACTGCAACCTCGACCTCCCAGGCTCAAGCAATCCTCCTGCCTCAGCCTCCCAAGTAGCTGGGACCACAGACCTGCACCATCTGCCAGGCTAATTGTTTTATTTTTGTAGAGATGGGGTTTTCCTGTGTTGTCCAGGCTGGTCTTGGACTCCTGGGCTCAGGCAGCCCTCCTACCTTGGCTTCCCAAAGTGTTGGGACTATAAGCATGAGCCACCACACACAGCCAGGTTCTTTTTCATGGTATCTCTAAATAAACAGGACTTATCTGTTTAAGGTGCATTTGCCCCATAATGTCATGAAGGCAAGAACTGGTTCCTTTACTCTGCTGCAGGGCCAGGTAACAAAGTAGATAGTCACCATCATCATCCTGGACTCAGACTTGGCTCAAGCTGTGAGGCTGCTCCGGCCAACTGTGTAGCCATGGGCTTCTAGCGCTCTCATCTGTAAATGGGCATAAAGATGTCAGAGGTTTTCTTCCTATAATTATATTATACTTTTTTTTTTCTTTTTCTTTTTTTTTTTTTTTGAGATTAGAGTCTTTCTCTGTTGCCAGGCTGGAGTGCAGTGGCACGATCTCGGCTCACTGCAACTCCACCTCCCGGGTCCAGGTTCAAGCAGTTTTCCTGCCTCAGCCTCCCAAGTAGCTGGGATTACAGGTGTGGGCCACCACAACCAGCTAATTTTTGTATTTTTAGTAGAGACAGGGTTTCACCATGTTGGTCAGGTTGGTCTTGAACTCCTGACCTTGTGATCCAACCACCTTGGCCTCTCTAAGTGCTGGGATTTCAGGCATGAGCCACTGCACCTGGCCAGCCCAGCCTACTTTTTTAATTTTTTTTTTTTTGAGACGGAGTTTCGCTCTTGTTACCCAGGCTGGAGTGCAATGGCGCGATCTCGGCTCACCGCAATCTCCGCCTCCTGGGTTCAGGCAATTCTCCTGCCTCAGCCTCCCGAGCAGCTGGGATTACAGGCACGCACCACCGTGCCCAGCTAATTTTTTTGTAATTTTAGTAGAGACGGGGTTTCACCATGTTGACCAAGATGGTCTCGATCTGTTGACCTCGTGATCCACCCGCCTCGGCCTCCCAAAGTGCTGGGATTACAGGCTTGAGCCACTGCGCCCGGCCCACTTTTTTAATTTTTAGAGACAAGATTTCACCATATTGGTCAGTCTGGTCTCAAACTTCTGACCTCAAGTAATCCACCCTCCGCAAGCTTCCCAAAGTGCTGGTATTACAGGCATGAGCCACCACGCCTAGCCCGGAAAGCTTTCCCTAACATACACTCCACAGCAGTTATCACAAATTTTAGTTCATCATTTTGAGTAAATTTAAGTTTAATATCTGCCTCCATCACCAGGCTGGGGCTTCTCAGTTGCAGAGCTTAAGCCTGTCTGAATCACTGCCGTGTCCCCAGCAATGCCTAGAACGGAAGAGGGGTTGAATAGCTGAATAATTGCACAGCTTAAAAACAACTTCCATTTATGGAACTTCTGTTCTGTGCCAGGCATCAAGCTAAGCATTTATATGCACGTTTCCATTCAATCTGAAGATACCCAAATAAAAACAAACTCGGGGAGGGGGGGCGGGGTTCTCCATTTTTCCCAAGAAGTTTAGAGATTTGCCCAAGGCCACAGCTGGTCAGAGGCCAGTCCAGTCCACCTGAAGGCTGAATCAGGCCAGAAGTCTTAACTCCCATTAGTGTTTAGTAAATAATGGCCCAAAGGCAATTTTAAGTGACATATGAATGCCTCTAGAATGATTCTGTAGTTTTAACTGATTTTTTTTTAAGGTAATAAATACATGAAACCCATCATTGTGGAGTACCCAGGATGAGGCAAAAGTAGATAAATCTTCTTCTTTTTTTCTGAGATAGGGTCTTGCTTTATCGCCCAGGCTGGAGTGCAGTGGCGTGATCATGGTTCACTGCAGCCTCTACCGCCAGGCTCAAGCAATCCTTCCACCTTGGCCTCATAAATCTTTTTTTTAAGAGAGAAAAGTGTTCAAATACAGGTGGTAGGCAAAATTGTGAAACTATTTTGAAATTGTGAAGTCTGGGTAACAGAATCAGAGCTGCTGCGGTTGCAGTGGGACGGGAGAGTAAGGGACAGGCAGCCCCTCACTAGACTGAAAACCAGGGTCAACTGGCACGTCAATTCAAATATTTTTAAGCACCTAACACGGACCCAGGCCTAGAAAGAGAAAGGGGCTGTTGTGGGTTAGAACCTGGAGACCCGCCTCCGCCCTTCCCCAAAGACAGCCTCGTCCCGTTCCCAAGGCCCGGGAAAGAAGACAGGAGGGTCCCCAAAGACTGATTGGGCCTCCCAGGTAGTGAGCGCTCAAGGTTGGGGAAAGGTGGTCGGGTATTTGCCCTTCCCCAGCAACTCCCTCCTCTTAGCCCCTTACTCTTCCCTCAAACTGGGGAGCAATAGAGGCTAAGGGTCCCGCAAACGCCATGCTCCGAAAGCACGCAAAGACCCCAGAAAGTTGGGGGTGGGGAGCGGGGGAGGTAGCGCGAATCTGGAAGGCCTCCCCCCAACCTCCCAGACGGCGGAAGTACGTCACTTTGTCCGCCCCGCGGCGCATTTTGGGAATTGTAGTGAAGCGGGTGGGGGGACGCCCAGCGGCCGATGGTGTAACCCTTTAGAGACCAGAGCGCGCGAGCAGAGCTAGGACAGGGTTAGAGGGCGCTCGGTCGCCCCCCTCCTTTAGCAAACTGAGGCAAAGCTCTGACTCAGGAGCCCTTAGTCCTCTCCCTCCTCTGGCTGTGGCGGGCCCCAGAGCCAGGGATTCCGGAGAAGGATGAAGTGCCAAGTGGCCACCTCCACCCCCTCCTAGTTGGCAGCTTCCTGTCCCTTCTCTGAAGCCAATCAGAGCTTCTCCGCCCCGCCCCAGAAGCTGCTGCCCTCCTAATTCGTCATTGGCCCACCTTTGCTGGGCGAGGAAACTGAGGCTCAGAGAGGGTAAGAAATTTTGCCTAAAGCTTCACCGCAAATCGAAACAGAAGTTGGAAGCCAGCAGCCTGTCCACCCACCCCCACAATTTCTGAACCCGGAGTAGCTCTGATCATTCGTATTTTGTCCTCGCCTCCCACCTTTGTGTCCCAGCTCCTCACGGCGTGCGGAACTCCGGCCCCGAGGCGAGGAGGAGTAAGGGTTGCGCGAGGAGAGGCGGCGACCCCCGCTGGCTGCCCGCCGTTCCCTTTAAGAGCAGGCCCCGGCGGGACTACGTTTCCCAGAAGGCTTTGCCGGCGCGTTATGTAACTTTCCCTGCGAAGCGGCCTCTGGGGCAGAAGGAGGTGGAGGTGGCGGCGGCCGTTGCAGCGGCGGCGGAGAGAGCGGCGGGAGCCCTAGGTGGCGGCGAGAGCAGCCCATCGTGGGACCCGAGCTGTGCGCCTCGGCTCGGAGCCCGGACCGGGCGAGGGCGCCGACGTGCCTCGGCCTGCCTTTGCGAGGGAGGCGGGAGTGAGCAAAAAGGCTTAAGGCCCAGGGGGCGGGGAAGGGGGGCCGGGCCTGGATCCGGCGGGGAGGCCGAGCCGGAGGCCGGACCGTGGCTAGCGCTGTCCCGGGGACGCGGATCGCACGGCGGCGGCGGCGCGAATCGCACGGCGGCGGCCGGTGGAACGCGGGGGCCGGGCGGCGCGCGGACTGGGGCCATGGCGTCTGTGCAGGCGTCCCGCCGCCAGTGGTGCTACCTGTGCGACCTGCCCAAGATGCCGTGGGCCATGGTGTGGGACTTCAGCGAGGCGGTGTGCCGCGGCTGCGTGAACTTCGAGGGCGCGGACCGCATCGAACTGCTCATCGATGCCGCCCGCCAGCTCAAGCGCAGCCACGTGCTTCCCGAAGGCCGCTCGCCCGGGCCCCCGGCCCTTAAGCACCCGGCCACCAAGGACCTGGCTGCGGCCGCCGCACAGGGGCCCCAGCTGCCGCCCCCGCAGGCCCAGCCCCAGCCATCAGGGACTAGCAGCGGCGTCTCAGGCCAGGACCGCTATGACAGGGCCACATCATCGGGCCGCCTCCCCCTGCCCTCGCCGGCCCTGGAATACACTCTGGGGTCCCGCCTGGCCAATGGGCTTGGCCGTGAGGAGGCTGTGGCAGAGGGGGCGCGAAGGGCCTTGCTTGGCTCCATGCCTGGCTTGATGCCCCCTGGGCTGCTAGCAGCTGCAGTGTCTGGCCTGGGAAGCAGAGGCCTGACGCTGGCACCCGGCTTGAGTCCTGCCCGGCCCCTCTTCAGCTCTGATTTCGAGAAAGAGAAGCAGCAGAGGAATGCGGACTGTCTGGCAGAACTGAACGAGGCCATGCGGGGCAGGGCAGAGGAATGGCACGGGCGCCCCAAAGCAGTGCGGGAACAGCTACTGGCGCTGTCCGCCTGCGCCCCGTTCAATGTGCGCTTCAAGAAGGATCACGGGCTGGTGGGGAGGGTGTTCGCCTTCGATGCTACTGCCCGTCCTCCAGGATACGAGTTCGAGTTGAAGCTCTTCACGGAATACCCCTGTGGTTCCGGCAATGTGTACGCAGGCGTCCTGGCGGTGGCTCGTCAGATGTTCCACGATGCTCTGCGGGAGCCGGGCAAGGCACTGGCCTCTTCGGGCTTCAAGTACCTCGAATATGAACGCCGGCATGGCTCAGGAGAATGGCGGCAGCTGGGTGAGCTACTGACCGACGGTGTCCGCAGCTTCCGCGAGCCAGCTCCCGCAGAGGCCCTTCCCCAGCAGTACCCAGAGACGGCCCCTGCGGCTCTTTGTGGCCCACCCCCGCGAGCCCCATCCCGGAACCTAGCGCCCACGCCGCGCCGTCGCAAGGCATCCCCCGAGCCTGAAGGCGAGGCGGCTGGAAAGATGACCACCGAGGAGCAGCAGCAACGACACTGGGTAGCACCTGGTGGCCCGTATTCCGCTGAGACCCCTGGTGTGCCCTCACCCATTGCCGCCCTGAAGAATGTGGCCGAGGCCCTGGGTCAATCACCCAAGGACCCTGGCGGAGGTGGGGGGCCTGTGCGTGCAGGGGGTGCCAGCCCTGCAGCCTCCTCCACGGCCCAGCCTCCAACCCAGCATCGCCTGGTTGCCCGCAACGGTGAAGCCGAAGTCAGTCCCACAGCGGGGGCCGAAGCTGTCAGCGGGGGTGGCGGCGGCACCGGGGCGACCCCTGGGGCCCCCCTGTGCTGTACCCTGTGCAGGGAGCGGCTGGAAGACACCCACTTCGTCCAGTGCCCCTCGGTGCCCGGACACAAGTTCTGCTTTCCCTGCTCGCGCGAGTTCATCAAGGCACAGGGCCCGGCTGGGGAGGTGTACTGCCCGAGCGGAGACAAATGCCCGCTGGTGGGTTCCTCCGTCCCCTGGGCCTTCATGCAGGGTGAGATCGCCACCATCCTTGCTGGAGACATCAAGGTTAAGAAAGAACGGGACCCGTAGGCCACCACTGCCTCCAGGCCACTGGCCACCACCCTCTGCCCCTTTGCCACCCACCGCTGCCGCGGATAAATTATTCCCTCCCCGACCTAGCCCAGTGCCACCCCTACCTGTGTACATACTCCCTTCCTCTGCACAGACGGGTCCCCTGGGGTAGATGCATTGTGGGTGGGGGGAGAAAGCTTGTGGTTCCTGTCCGAGGGGGTGTTTGGGGTCCCTTGGCCCCTCCAGTTTCCCTCTGTCCTCCTTGGCTTGGCTTTGCTGCTGCTTGTAGTTGGGGGAGAGGTGCCCCCTCCTCCTTGAGAAGGGACCTCCTGAAAACTCGCTCTTTATAAACCCTCTCCCGCCCCCTTCTGCTCCTTCAATAAACCGAAAGATGGGTTTTTTTTTCCTTCTTGGTCCCTCAGTTGTGTGAGATGCTGCGCCCCCTTTGGGACTGAAGTGGTCCTGCGAGGGACAGGACGTTGCGCGGTAGCCTCCAGGTGGCGCCCGGCACCCAGGCGGTCCCGCTGGCCGACCTTCAACGAGAGCGACCCACTGGTCACGTTTTAGCCATCGGCCCCTTTTCCAGATGAAAAAACTGAGGCTCAGAGAGGGGATAGCTCCTGCAGGGAGAGGCTCGGGAGTAGATTACCCTTCTGTAGCTGGCCTATCTCTGCCTGGAAGGTGGAGGACTGAGCGCCCACGTGGTGGCGGGAAAGAGGCATTGAGAGGCTTCCTAGAAGAAACAGGCAGTGGGTTCTTGCTGGGTAGGGGGAGTATTTGGGGTAGATTGCTACAGGGACTGCCCGAGGAAAGGAAATTTACCTCCATGGGGTAAACTAACAGGATGCCTAGAAACAACTTGGCTACTTCTCGCCTCTGGTGTTGCCCGAGAGGCGGACATTTGGGAAGCCCCAACTGGACTCCTCACCCTCGTCCCGGGAGACAAGCCCCTTCGGCGGCCACCCTAGAGAGCAGAGTGAAAGGCACTTGCCCCGCGGCTGCCTCTGATGTGCGCGGCCTTGTCCCGCACCTGTCCGGGTGGCTGATCATTAACCAGGACTTCCTGCTCGCTGGCGTCACGGGGCGGGGCCTGAGCGGGCTGCGGCAAAGCAGGGGTTAAGGGGAGGGGGCGGCCCCAAGAACCCAGCCCCCACCCCTGGGGCCTCCCCAGCCTCGCCGAGGTGGAAATTCTGGGAAGGGGGAATGCGGGGCGCAAAGGCCCGCGGATGGACAGGGAGATAGGGAATGATTGTCCTACCACCCCACAGCACTGTCAGACAGCTCTGGGACCTTAGGTTGCCCCCAGATGTCCTCGGGAACTCAGGGTTCCCGTCACCTAAATCTGGAGGCCCCTACAGTCCTCATTTCAGCTCGGTTACCCTGGGGTCCCACTCACACTTGAATAACTACATGTCCTAACTCCCAGATATTAGGGGTCCTAGGGCTTCAACCTTCGCATCTGGAGGACTTTCTGTTCTTGGACTGAGGGTGGTCCATCCTCCCCCACCCCCCAGCCATCAGCTCTCAGGTGTTCTACCACCCCTGGCACTGCCAGCCTGGGCTCTGGGCAGGGCTGGGAAAACCACCCCTGATTAAATACACCAGGTGATAAGCTTGGAGCAAGAGAGACCTGGATGGAGCTCCGTGCCTGGGCTCCCCTCCCGGGCTAGCCTGTGGCCTCCCCTGACCTAGCAGGCCCAAGTGCTGGCTGGGTATCTCCCCCACCCCCAAATCCTCAGAGCTGGAGGCCTCCAGACACCTGGCCCCTGTGCCCCAGTGGGAGCTAAAGAGCTGCGGAGGACACCTGGTCCTTTAAGAACAGCTGGTAGGTGGGTGGGGGGCAGGGGAGTCACCCCCAGCCTGGCTGGTGTGTATTCTAGATAGAGGTTGAGTTAACCATTAACAGAGCAGAAGGCCTGACCTGTGTGGGTGTGGGGGCTGGATCAGCCCCCGCTTCTCTCAGTGCCAGGGTGGGGCCAGGGTGGAGGGGTTCTGGATTTATTTGGGAATCAGGCTATAGGTGGAGAGACTTCAAGACGGGAAATGTAGAGAGACACCTGGGGAAAGATGGGAGGCAACAGAGGTGGGAGGGAGAGATGCAGGACCAGCTCACTGAAAGACACAAGGAGAGGCGGGAGCCGGAGACCCAGAGCGACAGGGAGAGACTCGTGAGGACCTTGGGGATGAGGCAGACCAGAGAGGGAGAGACGGAAAAGAAAAGGAAATGGCCAATATTCTGACAGGTTGAGCGAGACTGAGATATACCTATGAGATGCCAACAACAGACACATAAGAGAGGGGAGACTAGATGCAGAGAGAAGGCAATAAAGAAGAGATGAGAAAAAAAGAAAAAACAAAAAGGGAAGAAAAAGAGGTGAGAGAGACAGAAGTCAGGAAAAGGCACAGGTATGAACTAGAGCTAAGACATCCTCAAACTTGGAAGTTCTGTGAGACAGAGGCGGGGAATGGGAGCTCTGTGAGGAAGTACAAGGTTGCATCTGTTTGGGTTATTTGGTCCCCAGTCATCAGACCAAGGCACCTCCTCCAGGAAGCCCTCCCTGACCACCAGCCTGCATCAGGTGCCATTTCTGGGCCTTCCGTATCCCTCTGTACTCCCCCAATCCTAGCCCTATCCATTCTGGAGTGTTACTGTCTGGCAAACAGACTGTGAGCCCCCGAAGGGAAGGCCAGGGATGTCTTGATCGCCGCTGCGTCCTCAGCATCACCCAGCACAGGGTCAGCTTAAGGGATGGACAGATTAATGGGCTGCTTCTCTTCCTCAACAAGTGTTTATGCAGCATCCACCATGTGACAAACACTGGAGGAGATAATGTGGATGGAGCAGGGAATAGAATGCAGCCCTTGGGCTAGGGACTGTGGCTCACGCCTGTAATCCCAGCACTTTGGGAGGCCAAGGTGGGAGGATCACGAGGTCAGGAATTCAAGACAAGCCTGGCCAACATAGTGAAACCCCATCTCTACTAAAAATACAAAAATTAGCTGGGCATGGTGGCACATGCCTGTAGTCCCAGCTACATGGGAGGCTGAGGCAGGAGAATCACTTGAACCTGGGAGGCAGAGGTTGCAGTGAGCCGAGATCATGTCACTGCACTCCAGACCAGGCGACAGAGTGAGTCTCGGTCTCAAAAAATAATAATAATAATAATAATGCCGCCCCTACTTTCACTCCAGACCCAGTGACAGAGTAAGATTCTGTCTAAAAAAAAAGAATGCAGCCCTTCCTCTCATGGAGCTGGCATGCAGGTGAGAGATGCACACAGGACCAGAAAATGTGACAGCCATGGAGTGGTCAGTACTACAGAGAAAAAATAAACCAGGGAAAGGGGATAGAGAGTCATGCGGGTGGCTATTTTATTTTTTATCTTAATAGAGACAGGTTTCACCGTGTTGGCCAGGCTGGTCTCAAACTCCTGAGCTCAAGTAATCTGCCTGCCTCAGCTTCCCAAAGTGCTAGGATTACAGGCGTGAGCCATGGCACCCAGCCCCGGTCGCTATTTTATTTTATTATTTGTTTATTTATTTATTTATTTATTTAGAGACAGAGTCTCACTCTTTCACCCAGGCTGAAGTGCGGTGGTGCGTTCCCAGCTCACTGCAGCTTCCACTACCCAGATTCAAGCGATTCTCCTGCCTCAGCCTCCTGAGTAGCTGGGACTACAGGCATGCGCCACCACGCCAGGCTAATTTTTGTAATTTTAGTAGAGACAGGTTTTCAGCATGTTGGCTAAGCTGGTCTCAAACTCCTGACCTCATGTGATCTGCCCATCTCAGCCTTCCAACGTGCTGGGATTACAGGCTTGAGACACTGCGCCCGCCCGGCTGGGGCTGCTGTTTTAGAAAGGGATGAAGGGCTCACTGAGCATGTGACACTAAGAACTGAGGCAGGGGAGGGAGGGCGCCAGGGGAAATCTGGGTAAATAGCACATGCGAGTGTCCTGTGATGGGAGCCTGCTTAGTTTGTCCCGGAAGCAGCGGGCCAACCAGTGCTAGCAGAGAGTAGTGGGAAATGGAATCAGAGGGATGGTGGGGAGCAGTAGGAGGACCTGTACACTGTGATCAGGACTTTGAATTTTGTTTTTTGTATTTTTTGAGACAGAGTCTTGCTCTCCATCACCAGGCTGGAGTACGATGGCACAGTCTCCACTCACTGCAACCTCCACCTCCCGGGTTCAAGCCATTCTCCTGCCTCAACCTCCCGAGTAGCTGGGACTACAGGTGCACGCCAGCACGCCCAGCTATTCTTTTTGTATTTTTACTATAGATGGGTTTCACCATGTTGACCAAGCTGGTGTCGAACTCCTGACAATCAAGTGATCCACCCACCTCGGCCTCCCAATGTCCTGGGCTTGCAGGCATAAGCCACTGCACCCAGCCTGAATTTTGTTCTAATAGAAACAGGTGGGAACTTTCAAGCAGGGGGTGAAGGGATGGAGCAAATGAGACAGAAATGGCATAGAACCCACTGGGACCAACATTTATCTGTGTGTTCTCAACACGCAGCCCAGCACAAATGCCCGATGACTGTGCGTGCATGCGTGAGAGAGACCACAAACCAACAGGGAAAATGCCAGAACGGCATCTAGATGGACAGTGGGACTCAGAGAGAGGCCAGCTCAGGGCCCAGGGACACTCAGGAACAGCAGATACACACAGACCCACAGCAGCCCAGCTGAGAAGTCCTGTTCCTTCCAGAACCCTCCCCACCCGGAAAGCTTCCTGGGGCTGGAAAAAAAACCCCAGGCCCTCCTGCCTGCCTCACCCGTGCCATGCCCACTCACACCTCAGGCAGAGGAAGCTGGCAGGCCCCACAGGAACCTTTCTGTGCAGGGGGAGTGGAGGCGGGCAGGCGGCAGGGACGAAGGGAGAAGAGTGGCGGGCAGGCGGGCAGCGGCTACACAAAGGCCCCAGTGTCTTCCCCTGCTGCCCGGGTACAGATGTAAATAATCCGCACATACACGTATATATATATATACCAGCACACTGAGGGGGAGGCTGGGGGCCACACACTTCCCTAAGGGCCCGGGCATGGCAGAGTCTGTGCCTGAGGGGGCTGGGGGCTCAGAGACCCACAGAGATAGTCCCCAAGTCTGAGAGGCTCAGGCAGACAGATGGCAGAGAGAAGGAGAAGGAGAAACTTACAAAGTGGAGCAGAAAGAGACTTTCGGAGAGAGCACCAGCACCAGCTAGAAAGCAAGTGTCAGGAAGCAGGCGGACTCAAATGGAGATGCAACAGCCAAACTTCCAGAGACATGGAACTTCCCTGCAGAGACAGAAACAGGGATGGTGACAGAAGGAAGAGAGAGGGTCACTCCAGAGAGAGGCAGAGCCATGGAGAAGCCCGGGTGAGAGGAAAGAGGGATGAAGAGAAACAGAGAGATTGACACA